TCACTGATACCCTGTATATGTACAAACGATATTCATTTATTAGTAGGAACATTTGTTTGTACTTATATTTTTTCAAAATTCCATTTATACTAAATACTGTCTGTAGGTTAATCGAGGAGGTGGTACATGTCTATAGGAATTAGTTTGATTCTGTACAGGGTGTCTCACATTCGAGGGGTATCATTGTAATTTCGGTAACCATAACATATACAAAGTCTGTTAAATTAGGACAAAGTTGCGTTATTTGATGCTGTTCAAAATGCCGCCTCAAAAGTTTGGAAATTCCGAATAATTCCGAAGATATTTAGAAAAAAAACGAATATCCGCGATTTCGATTTTATTCTTCTCTGGCTTCATTTGAAATGATAGACAAAATGAGTTACATAATTAATATCATTATCACTTGTTTCGCTCTCTCAATTTTTCTGTCCCTAAAAAATTGTAATTCCAATTCTAAATCCAATAATATATTACACTTTACAATTATCCGACGTTTCGGACCAAGAAATCGTCATCAGTGTTATTTGATGATGGTTATAAGGAAACGAAAAGTCGGATCAAAAATCTGATGACAGCATCTTGTAGAAAAAAAAAAAATGTCTGAAAAAATCCATTTTGGTCTGTCTCTCTTAGTACGATCAGAAAAAAAATATTTATTAGAATTAAAAACTTCGAGAGTTACTTATAATTTCGTTATAATAAGAGAGATAGACCGAAATTAATTTGACATTCTCTTAGCCATTTTTCCATCTCTAGAAATTGCCGTCATCAGATTGTGTGTCGTTGGATTCAGAAATTGAATTAGAGTTTTTTAGGGCCAAAACAATGTTTTTCACCATTTAAAAAACAGAGTTGATGATGCCTCCTCGAAGACGAAACGTCGGATCACAATATAATCTATCATTATACCATTGGATACAGCGGGAAAAGTGGCAATGATAATATAAAACTGATTTTGTCATATCACTTCAAATGAAGTTAAAAAAATATAAAAACGAAATCGCGGATATTCGTTTTTTTTTCTCAAATATCTTCGGAAGCACCCTGTCCATCTAAATCAATATGGCCGACTGTAGGTACACATACTTTCGTGTCGCAATATCTTTGTTATAGCGGTCCAAGGATAATAAATATCCACTTTTATTCAAAACAGCCATTATTATTATTTGATATATCTACCGAAGATTATACTGCTGCTACGTAAATCAACAAAAAATACTTGTGTGCCTACAGGCGGCCATTTGAAATATGTCAAAAGTCACGTGTTCTGGAATGCCTGATGATTGATTTGACAGAAAATGTAACCTCTAAAATCGTATCTGACAATCAGGTGCTACTAAGGAAATTGAAAAGACGAAGATCAGAATATATGTCTTATTCTTTTATACACTCAAACCATTGTGATATAGAAAATAGAAAAGGACAGAAGGTCAGTTGTGTTCGAACTCTTATCTGACTAATACCATCCAGAAAATCTAAATCTAATCTTTGTGAGCCTATTTAAAAAATTTTGTTGTCCACGTTGTCTAAAATTACCTCATTTACGATCTGTCACGGGTTCTCCAACAGTTTAGTGAATGGTTGAATCTTGATTCCGTTTATTTATTGAATTAATTAAAATAATGGATGAATTTTGAAATGAGATGAGGGACAAACTTCTTTTTATTTTCACCATTCCACCAATCGCATTATTGCTGTGTCTTGAGCTTTCATTAACTAAGCTTGAAAAATAGTGCAAATTATTATGAGATATGAATGTATTGAATGTTGTATGGGCTGTGAGACATGCGATGAAACTATTATAGTTAAACTCGTAGATTTTAAGTTTTTAGCCAATTCCAATTATGTTATAATTATTGCCAAATGGATGTATTTTTTAATGTATTTGTAAAAACTTGTATTTTGTTCAGTATATTTTCGTATTATTACCTCATGACAAATTGGTTGTAGTAAGGTTCATGTTTTGTTTACAGTAATTGTATATTTTTGTGTAATTGATTATATTTTGAATTCTCAAAATAATTGTCTATTCAATAATAATAATTGTGTTGTTTAATTTTTAATTGTTGTATTAAAAATAAACATTATTCGAAACTCCAATTTTGACTATAATTTTGAATTATTCTGGAAACCAAGAATACGATCGACTCACATGGTAGACAAGTTTCGATGTTTCATATAGAAGGTTGAATAAAGTGGAGTGTTACAACAATAGTTGATACAAATAGATGATGATTCGCGATAGAAAATAAGCGTACGCCACCTATCGGAGTTCTTAAAAGGTGTCAAAGGGGCCTGTTTACTTTGTTTCCATTGCTTCACATTTGTTTTTTATATGTGCTTATTGGTCATACCCTCAAAACAAACCGCTCAGAAGTGTTCTAGTTGTTGCCGTCAGATGGGGCGACGTGTTATTATCTATCGCGAATACCATTCTTTTCCTCCTACTTGATGCCGCCATTAAGGCAATTGCGTGTGATGTGATAAAATAAAGCAGTTCAGCTAGCGTTGACATAACAATGAAATTTTTATGTTGGCAACACTGGAAATGAGAAGAAATCAATTCAGAGTTGAAAAAACCCACTGTTACATATGATTTGCCATTTTATTTCCACTCGTCACAGCAGCATCATCATCTAGCGGAAAAATATAGAATCAACGTCTTGCTCGATGAGACGTAGAGAAATCATAGTAGGCGGTCGAGTGATTTTTCTTAAGTTTTCAATAAGTAAATATGGCCGAGTACGCGCACTATCAACTTATTTCCATCATTCTAATATTTTTATATTGAGGTTAATATGATCTTCTTCTCCATTTTTTCCCATTTCCTATGTTACCAACATGAAATTTCCATTATTTTACGTTGGAATACTGCAGACAAGGGCATATGTGGAAGATTGGGACTGCTTCTAAGACCTCGTGTCTAGTAAAACGCAACGTGGTAACACTTTTGTGGGTATCGGGGCAATGAAAAGACAAACAAATTACGGAGAGAGAATCGAACGGAGAATCCACTGTCCCAGAGTCTGCATTTGGCATAGCAAACCTCACTGTACACATCACCATTCAAAACTAGGTTTCATTAGGGTGCGTTCCATTTAAACACCTCAAGACAGTTATGAAGCTTATAAATACATCAAGATCCATCAAAATTCGACCTAAAAGCGCTTCATTATTACTAGGATGATATTACCGCCAAAGTGGGGGAATGGAATCAGGTAGTGAATCAACAACCAACGCCTGCCAGTGAATGCGTTCGCATTTTCAAAGTCAAAACGCCATCCAGTTCCTCACAAGCTATCACCTGATTTTTTTGCAGAAAATCATTTTATTATCCACTTCTGAAATATATGAACCAAAAATCAGCAAAAGGTCGATTTCATAAAGGCAGACAATCAAAAAAATACAGGGTGAGTCATAATGAGACCGACAAACTTTGTTTTCAGATTCTTTACTTTATTTTGGAGTAAAAAATTGTGATCAACGTTTGTCTTGAATACATCCTGTCTATAAAGTGCAAAAATAATCACGATTTTTTTTTAAATGCCTGTAGGAAAACAATAATTGGAAATCAAGATAAGGTTGCACAGCATGGGGATCTCAGAAACTGGAGGAGATACGAATTCTTCTAAACAGAAAAAAAGTTTCGCCTTCCGAGGGTCATACCAACGGCCTTCGAACATTTTCAAAAGTTTTTAGTTTTTCAGTTATATCGAAGAAATTTAATTTTTGGAAAATGTATTTTTCCTACGTTATCATCAGAGATGAATAAAAACTAAAAATTCTTTTCCATAGCAACTTTTGATGAGATTCAACGTGGTGATATTGATTTCTCTACGCGACGTTTCGTATTCGTAGAACCTGCTTTGAAAATGCGAACGCATCCACCGGCAGACGCTTAGGTTCTTGAATCACTACATAATTCCAATCACTGGCGATAATTCCATTCCTCAACAATGAGGCGTTTTTAGATCGATTTAGGCACTTTCGAAATTTGTAGCCTTAGTAGGCGACTATTGGCCGGCTACCATCCTGCCAGCGATGCTTCGTATAGTGCATGATTTCGAGTGACTTCGGGGATCGGAAGGATTCTGCCACCTGGTGTGTGATGAGAACTCGACCTCCCTGCCGATTGATCGACGGACGACCCGTTGGCTCAATTGGCAGAGCGTTGGGCATGTAACCCAGAGGTTGTGAGTTCGACTCTCACACGGGGCGGTGGAGTTTTTTCCATTCCATTTTCCATTGTCATTCGAAATTAGGGCTTTCCATCTTTATCATTATTGTATGTATCTTTTCGGTTGAGTAACCGACAAACATTATGACTTGACTCTTAAGAAGCGTTTTCTGGCAATCAATTTGGATGAGAATTTCGGGTTGCTGCAATAAAATGCAGTTATAATCATGAGAACAAATGTTGATTTCCTTCCATGTGTGTTTAATGCATATACGTATTAATAATCAATATGGATAAACTCTATCTGTTTCCATAGCGAAACATGAAGCCGATTTTTGAAGACAAATGACTATCCATAAGGAAAAGTTTTGAAACGATCAGACACATACTGCTTTGATTGAAAGGCTAGTAAACGTCATTGTCCACCGAAACGCATGTCTTTGATGACTACTATAATAGCGCATGGCGCATGCGTATCATGCCATCAAATCCTTATGGATATTCATTTGTTTCATATTTTTGGCTTCATCCTGGCACCCGTTATGATCCGTATTGTTCATTAATACGTATATGGTTTAATGTCGACACATACACCTTTGCTCCCTTGATATATTATGTACATACAAACATACAAAGTTTCTCTCCTTACTAGTATATAATAAAATCAATTGACATCATATATCTATCCTCTCAGGAATTCTCTGATTTCGATTCTCATTTGAAATGTCACTCATCTGCCTATTTTTCACAAAAAAAAAATGAGGCATTTTGTTGAAAAATAATATTATATAGGAATTTTAATTTTCAATGTGATAGAGAGATTCACTTTTATCATTTTATTTTTCAAAATATTACAATATATAACAGATCACGTATTTTAGTCTTCAACATCATCAATCAGGTATAATAATGAGTCATTTTCGTATGTAGGAAAATAGAACCTGAAAAAAACAAAATCACATTGGGATTTTCTCTTGTTCCTACAAATAAAAATATGAGTATTATTTCAATATACTTACGTGTAGTAAGGACTAATCAGATAATTTGTCATGGACCACTCATAATTTGACTCTTTTTCAACGCCTGTGTGTTTTTTTAAATATTGACCGATTTTCATGCGATTTTCGATATCAGATGTGATACTTCATCGACTTCAAAGAGAGCTAGAACACAAGGTCCGCAGAACGAATCTTACACAGGGTGTAAAGTGGATCCATTACACTATGGTCTACTTTTGCGATGCTGAAGGAACTGGAGGATTTTTCTATAATTAAATCAGTCATATTATGGATACTTTGGGACTTCATCTCGGGAAGTTTTCGTGATTTCTCCTCAATTTGTCTTTGGAACAAAAAGATGAAGTCCTAATATATCATAATATGACTGACTCTTAATCATGATGAAATATCATGTCAGATATCGAAAACCGCATGAAAATCGGTAAATTATTTCAAAAAATACTGGTCGTCGAAAAAGTATCAAATTATGAGTGGTCCATTTAGGGTGTTGGGAACTGAAATACGTGCACTGAAAAAAAAATTGTATTCAGCTTTGGACGTTTCGAGAACGAATATGCTCCCGTTTGCAATATGAAAATGGAAAATATTTTCTGGTCAAATGAGCTTCGGATTTTTGTGTAGACCTTTCTTAGTGATATGTTGAGGTTGGCAAACAAATCACTTGTAATTCATCTTGAATTTACCACAAATAAGATGTCATTCACAATTGATTGAATTCTTGATTTAGGCTCTCTAATAGTGACATTTTGCGGTCAATCATCTGATTTGTCGTTACTATACATACAGCGTGTCTCACCTTAACCCCTCCCCCTCTATACCTCAGCTATTGGTCGTGCGAATCGTACAAAATTTAGACCGGTATCAATAACCAGCAATATCATTAGTTTTTCAGAGACGAATATACTTTTGCACAGTGCCGTGCTTTTTTATTTAACTAAAAATGGGTCGATTTTTATAAAATCATATAAGGACTTTTTGCACAAGAAAACTTACTTCATTTTATTGTTCCTCGTGCTTTCGAACCTCCATATGCAAAAAATCACTTCATTCCGAATTAACAGGATTGGCTTCACTTTTTTCATTTTCAGCGTCAAAAAAATAGTGAATTCATATTAACTACAAATTTTGGAACGTTCAATAGCTCCGGTAGGTAGAGAATCAGGTTTTGAATGAAAAAATAAGATATACTATTTGATGTTGAACTCACCGTTTCCGAGTAAATAAGCATTACGTTAAAAAAAATGCTGTTTGGATGCCTGTTTTTTTAAACCGTTCATAGGAATCATATGAAAATTTACATAATATGGGGTTTGAAACGATGAAGAACAATATATGAGGTCAGTTTTCATAAAAAAATCCCTAAAATGATTTCATAAAAAATTGACCCTTTTTCATTTTAATAAAAACGCACGGCACTGTCTAGAATGATATATGTCTCTGAAATACTGATGATATTGCAGGTTCATTTATACCGGTCCAGATTTGCTAAAAATCGCATGACTAATGGCTGAGATATAGAAGGGTTGTATATTCATTCATATTTTTATTTGTAGAAACAAGGAGAAAATCCCAAAAAAACTGATAAACTTACTCAGGTTGATCGAAAATTTTCACATCAGGTATTTTGTAATGATTATTGTCCACCAAATGATTTGTAAGCTGACTAGAACTTTGGAAGAGTTCATCACAGAATATGCACTTCAGGTCATAGACTTGCTTTCGGATGTAGTTGATCAATTTAACTTTCTGATAAAAATCCAAGTGCTCAGATTGCTGAATGAAGTCGAAATCATGATCAGCATCCATATGTAAACAAAGAGTATTGATATTAACATCCTTGTGTTTACAAAACAGGCATATTATCTGATCAGCATCTTCATTCCAGTCTGAATATTCTTCATCTGTATTTGATTCATTTCCTGAAAATCAAACTCTCTTATTCATATGTTGTAAATCGGATTAAATTCCTACCCCTAGGAATAGCATATCTATCATCCTCCTTCTGTATTACCTGCCAATCTTTATCTTCTTCTAAATAATTTACAATATAGAATTTATCATACTCTCTATTTTTGGGATTTATTCTTTTATGGAGTTTTTTTCTCATATGCTCCTTGAGAATATTTCTATCTGGAAAAGTCTTCTCACAAAATATACACTGCAATGCTGTAAGTTTTTCATCAATTCTATTCACTAATTCTTCAAGATAAACCATATTCTGAGGATTCCCCAATTGTAAATTGTGTTGGGTGGAGAGATGTTCAAAATATTTTGGTCTTGTACCTTCAAACACTACCTTACATAATAAACATGGCCTGATATAATGCTCATCTTTCCTTTCAAACTCCTGAACTGCAAGAGCATGATCTAACCTCAGTTTATGCCTCAAAGCTTTGTCTTCTTTCAATAACACAGACATTAAAAAATATCTTACGCCTGTCGAATCGATTGTAACTGCAGGAATTAGCTGTTCTAGAGGAGTACACTTGAATTTATTTCTCCAATAAGTCATGTATCTACAACAATGATTAAGGGATATTCACGATTTCTCGTATTTCCCGATTTCGTATAGGTACCTACTTACGAAAATCACATTTCGTATGCAATCTAGACCGGCAATGAGGGACTTGGCTCCAAGTTGCCAACATAAAAACCTCTACCTCTGTACTCAAATAGATTCATTTTGGTGCAATTTGATTGTAGGAGTCTACTCAGCTTTCTAATGAAAGTTATTCAGGCTATATTCCGAATTTTACTGACAGTACTGAATGTGCAGATTTTTCATTCTGAAATCAAAAAATTCACTGGAAGTGACAGATGCTTGTCAGCAGACATACTATTCATTCCAAATATTTCGACTCAACATTCTGCTGGAATTGCTGAGTATCAAAAGGTAGTGTGGCTTCAGTGAACTTTCATATTTTAGAGGGGGAAGGAATGAAACATTCATTTCCGTTATTAATGAAATGATTCTCAATATCAGAAAATACCTGGAGTATGAAGTAGTAGAGCAGGTAAGAAAAATAGCAGCATTGGCTAAATGAACTGAATAAACCTGGAATGTCTCCTAAAATTCATCATTATTAAGGCATATTGCGATTTTCATGAATCTCAATTCTCAATCTGGTGCATCATGAGAAATTTATGGCAACAAAATGTCCAAGTATTCTTCATCACTCGAGCTTGAATCGCCATCGTCAACAATCGTAGAAACTATAGAGAATACAAGAATCGATTTCTCTTCCATGTTAAATATTAAATTTCCAAAATTTATAACAAGTAGGATGCTAAACATCTAATTCAGATAAACGAGGAACTACTACTGATGACAACCATGAAAACGTGTCCCGAATTACAGTAGTGAATTTTTGATATTATATTTCGGAACACAGATTTTCAGCAGAGTCAGTGGATCAACTGACAGTACTGACCAGTTGAATTCGGAATATAGCCTCAGAAGAAAATTAGGTTTTGTGAACTTCACATCTGACTGATTGAATATCATGTTGGTGCATCTGTGGTACATCAATACTTTCAATAGTGTCAGTAGTGACAAGAGGAAAAAATGATATATCCTTGAATCACTTTGATCAGTAATGGTCGAATCACGTTCGATCGTTTGAATAATAATCAAGAAATGATATAATAATAAACTGGATGTGAGGGTTCCAAGTTATCTGGTCTGGTGCTACTCTCGACCCTTCGTAATGGTAATCAACATAACATTGTTCTTAGGTCTTTATACTTATTGTTGTTCATTTATATTATCTCACTACCCATAATAGGTATATCATGCTTTGATAAATATTGTGATATTCGAATAGTCTTGTGATTTCTGCTACCAATAAACTATCTGATTCTAATTATTTGAATAAAGGTATCTTATTTTGATATTGTAATATTCCGACATTTGTGATGATATGTATCTTTATTATTGGAAACTTTGACCAGTTTTCCTTCAAAGTGAGTCATGTAAGCTTTAAAAGTATTTATGGAATGATTTATTTTCCCTATTGTTATTATTTTACTATGAAAACTCTTATTATTACAGGTATGTTAGAATTTTTAATCATGATATCGACTGTGATTTCTTCGTTTCCAAACAGTTATAGTTTCATCCACTTGAAGACACTTCCTTGGGGTATTTCTCGTTTCAGAAGGTTGAAACTTCATCATTTTATTCTTATTAAGTCATGTCCGGATAGATTTTTAGCACTCAAATATATTCCTACTTCCTACTGCAACGATCAAACTTCTTTACCAAATAATGATGAATACTAGTATTATCCATTAATAAAATGATCTTAAATAGGTGACAAAAATGTGATAAGTATTAAAATCAACATAATTTTCAACTTATCAGAACTAGAGTTTACGATAATTAGATTTTCTTCAGAATAACTTCTATTCGTGAACTGAGTAGATTCCTACAATCAGATTTCATCAAAATTAAGCTATTTGAGTAATAAAACTTCCATAATGTTGCTTCTACATTGGTAGAGGTTTTTAGGTTGGCAACTTGGAGCGAAGTCCTCCATTGGATGAGATTCATACGAAATGTCATTTGTCATTTTCGATGAAATACATACATACTACATTACATTGGGGGAACGAACCCTGTCTCAATGAAGTTGAAAAAAATACCTACGAAACTATACCGACAAATTTTATAGATAGGAGGGTACACCAAAATGATAGTATCAGATTGTAGGTCGATGTTGTGTTGTCTCCCGACGCGAAGAGGAGGGATACGAAAAACCAAGAGCTAAAATCTTATATTTTTTCCTAGTGTAATACACACTTTATTTCTGTGGTAAAAAAAAACGATGATTCAATATTGCAAAAATATTACTATACAGGGTGTCCGGAAATTATGCGCAAAAAATCAAGGGGGTGATTCTGTATGAGAAAACATGAGATTTATTTAATGTATACTCTGGTCCGGAAATGCATAGTTTTCAAGATACAGTGTGTTGAACTTTTTAGAAAAAATCGGTTTTTTATGAATATCTCAAATATCCTTTCACCGATTCTCTTAAAATTTGGCAATAATATTTTTGTCATGTCATGTCAATTAAGCCATAATTATATTGTAATTGTGGAATCCAGTGGCGTCCCGGGGGCACCCTACCGAATATTATTGTCAATAAAATGTGCGCCACTGATTTTTTCGAATTCTTTATATTCATATCCTAATGATTGACTGAAAATTCAACATTTTGGTCCCTCGAATTGTTTTGCTATTTTGCTGCGTTTCCGTGGAAAAAAATTAACACCAATTCATTGTATAAATTCGTGCAAAAAATAGGTTCAAAAACAGGGGTGAAATTAAATGTGTGAACCATATCCATAGACGTAGAATGAGAATGAAGATTAATTTTGTTCAAATATTCCATAATACATGTTTGACACCCTTTGTATTATCGAAAACTACGCCTTCTGGACCGAGAATACATAGTTTTCAATATACAGATTGTAGAGTGTGTCAAACATGTATCAAGAAATATTTGAAGAAAATTAATTTTTATATTCATTCTATGTCTATGGACATTGATCACGCATTTATTTTCAAGGAATTTTTTGGCACAAATTTATACAATAAATTAGTATTTATTTTTTTCCATGGAAATGAAGCAGATTATCAAAACAATTCAAGAGACCAAAATATTGTATTTTCGATTGGTCAATAGTTTATGAAGATAAAGAATTCAAAAAAATGAGTGGCGCACATTTTATTGACAATAATATTCGGTAGGTTACCCCCGGGACGCCACTGGATTTCATAATTCTGATTGAATTATTGCTACATCAGCCCCCCATGACGAAAAATATCATTGCCAAATTTGAAGAAAATCGGTGAAAGGACATTTGAGATATTCATAAAAAACCGATCTTTCTTAAAAGTTTTATCACACTGTATGTTGAAAACTATGCATTTCCGGACCCACGTACATATGAAATAAAATTATTATTTTATCATGTAGAATCACCCCCTTGATTTTTTGCGCATAATTTCCGGACACCCTGTATATAATATCAGAAATTGTCGAAGGTAATACCACGAGTCCTTCAAATTTTATCGAGTTTTTTAAATTTCCTACGTAAACTTTTTTATTTGGCAACAATTTGAAAACAAACCGATTGATAAAATCACTCGTCCTACGGACTCGTGATTTTATCTAATTCGGTTTCGTCCTATGGACTCGTGACTTCATCTTATTCGGTTTTTTTGAATGATTTTGCCTCAAATAAAGTAGTTTGTTATGAAAATAAAAAAATATTGTATAAAATTTGATGGACGAGTTGTATTTGGGAAGATTCTTTTTTTCACCAATTTGACAAAGACACCAGCAAATTTCACCAGTCAAATTAATACTACACGCCCTTCTACTATGATTGATGATATGGTTCTAAAGGTGATGTGTGTGACATACCTTTGCGATGACTACAGGCGAGGATATATACATTTTGTTTTCTGGGAGAATTAATGATTGAATTGTTACATAGGTCGAAAGAAGTAACATGGCAGACACTGGTTAGTCAGATTGATTTTGACAGTTCAATGTAAACAAGGTTCTATCAGGTCAAGGACCATGCAATTTTATCAGTATAATACTGAATGATTGGCTAGAATTGCTGTTGGTTGAAACAACGATAACGTCACATTTTGACATGTGAAAAATATAATCGATGTGAAATTTGGAGTTTCCAACTGGTAGGCTGTTGTACTTCTATCAACAATTAGACCTGCGTTGCTAAGGAAACCTTTTGAAGTAATCAAATATCTGTCAATTTAATTCCATAATTTAATTAAAACATTCCAGTTGTTCAGTAATTTACGAAACCGAGTATGTAGGTATTCGAAATTCATGGAATGGAAGATGAAAAAGACATGCAGTTCTTCCTTGGTGACGGTGTTATAGGCTTATTTTTCAGAACTGGCACAACAACAAAAGCCAAAGTGAACCGTCAAGCGGGGCTAAGAGGACCATTGCGTGTAAAGTAGATATCAAAAATAAAAGAAATGTGTAGTTTTTACATTCAATCTGGTAACAGCGCCTCCGCGCGTCAATTTGCTTATAAACTTATAGCACATACCCCCACTAACAATATAACGCGGCTTTAGTTGTGTAGCAGGTTATTATAAGCTGAAACAAGCATATTTTTTTTCTTTTTTTTAACCTGAAAAACCTCCTTTGTATTTCCTATCAGTCGATAGTTTCAGGAATCTTTCAATATTGGGCTAATAGAAAACATATTTTCAAAGCACAGTTAATTACCATGATATCTTGCACAAAACAATGCGCGAAGTACCTACTTGGCACATTGTTATGTAAAATATATGAGATATTTATATTTCAACTTTTTGTCCTCAATGGAGCAAACATCCACGAAATCATTTTTTTCTGAATGTTCAACAATAACTTTGTTTTATCTCTATTATGTTTCAAAATTGTTGAATTTCAGAGCTCATTTCAAAGGTATCCTCATGGTCGCCATTCGGCTATATGTGGAATAAATGGTAATGTCAGTTTTCATGGTGTTTTGTTATTGGTCAGCTAATCTTTCATTCTCACTCATGAATCAAGATTGCCAAGTCACCAATTATAATCAAGTTATTGAAAAGATGTTAGAGTCCTATTGTTGAATAAAACATAATAGGAGGAACCCATGATATTCTTTTCAAGAAACCAGCATGTCCAAATATATCTTATAGGTACTCCATAACAAAATATCATGTAAATGTTGGTGACATGACAACTTTGTTCTGAATGCTGAGAACTGACAAGACCACGCCCACAATTCATGCACTGTGATGTCACATTTACCCTGGCGTTTCCAGGTCAAACATCCTCTAGTGTGAATTGATATAATTATAATTTACACAAATGTATTATAAGCAATAACCCACAACACATGAGTGGACATTTTGAGACAATTGATTTATTGATGCTAATTAGGAATTTTACCAATATGTAATTGAGAATGTATGGATTATTGAATAACATGATATTTCTGAAGTTCTCAATCATATTTCAACATATGGCAACTGTGCTATGGTCTGGCCCTACTCACGAAATAGTGAGTATTTACTCACAGCATATTTCTAGCCGTTTGAAAATTATCATGGCATTATTCATGATTTTGCCTATTTCCTTACTAGTACCCCATCAAAAATCAGGAAATTTAGCTGTCTACTGGATCCCTGTACATTATTTTCATATTTCAAGGCTGCATCAGATTCAGACTGGGACAATCTTTGATATTTCATCACATTTTTCAACTATTCCATGATTTGTCACTAATTTATCACTCATTAATTTATTGCCATTACAAAAATTTATCACTCCTCATTGGTTGAAAAAAATCAAAGATTTTGCTAGGTTTATCAAAGGTGAGTCATAACTATTGGGACATAGACTAAGGGCAGATTGTTTTGACCAAAATATGGTGATAGCAAGGACCAAATATGCCTCAATAAAATATTGCTATGGAAAAATATACAGGACATTGAAGTTGAATTTTTTCAAATCTATTGCTAATAATTTCACTGTGTGTTCATAAATCATCACAGAGGCATAATTTTATACAGGGAAGATCATTTATGTATTATTCTAGTTTTTTACAGATTGATGATGATTGATGATTCCTGATGATGAAACTGGTAACTTTTTTAGTTTTTGTTTATTGTTTATCGCTTGGTACTGATTTTGATTAGAAAATATCATTTCAACATAAACATCATTTCAACATAATATTGGCACTTTTGTTTGAACATGATATTTTCATACATGTTCAAGAAAAAACACAATTGAACTGTTTCAAGTCTGGGAAGAGGATTTCAAAAAATAGTACTTCATTCAAATAGTTGCTAGGTAATTACATTTCTTCTTAGTGAATACATTTTGGTGCAAGTTTATGGTCAATACTTTTTTGATTGAAAGCCCTGTATCTTTTTCTACAGCAAAATTTTATTGAGGCATATTTGGTACTATCACCATATTTTGGTCCAAATAATCCGCCCTTAGCCTATCCCCCAATAGTTATGACTCACCCTGTATATTACTTCAAGGGACATGGTCCAGACATAGGTATCTACTTCTGTTATTCAAACAACTTCTCTGAGACAGGACTCCTATTAGTATGTGAACTTACTCATGTAATTTGTTTATGTTTTGTACATCCTCAATGACTACATTATGAACATCAAATAGATGGGTCAGACATACAGGTAGAGACATGTTTAAGTTGAAACTATCCTCACATAGGAGGCATTTTGTTTCAGCATTATACTGAAGATGGTTATAAGAAGATTCCTCAAAAACCAATGGCCCAATGATTTTACTACAGGTTTCTGAAATAAATGATAGATTTCACAACATAGATGCTTATTTGCTAAGATAATATTTTGGTTTGTCTTACCTGAGTCCAAATGTTTTTCATAATTCATGTTTCATGGAAAGTCCTGTTCTGTCTTGCGAACTTTCAAAATATTATATACTGTCTTGTATGAGGAGTATGATTATTATTATATTATATTATTCATTGGATTAATGATTTAAAAGATGAATTGATGATTTAGGTTTAGGTTAGGTACTTCAAAATTTTCTTCTTCTGCTACTTCTTTTACTCTTATTAGTTTGACAAATTTACTTGTGCCACAGCCGTCTTCAGTGCTTGTGCATTTCGGGCCTCAGGACCCTAACGGAAGTTAATAGACTTAGAATAGTTATTTTTGTATCCAGAGCGCAAACTGCTACTTTGGTGAGGATATGGTTAATCATGAATTGCTTTTTACTCTTTTGATGGCACGAATCCGTTTTCCCAAACATATGCATAGGCGATTCCCATAGACCAATCTGAACAATCCAAGAAGCGCCTGCGTGCAATGCAACAAACATGCAACAAATTTTCAAATAATCCATGTGCGGGTAACTCCTTGTTTCGACTAAATTCTTCCTTGAAAATGAATATTCTCAGAATCGTGGTTGGGATTTCTCGATTAAGAATTTATTTTCAAGGTTTTAAGTATCTGGTGTGGCGCAGTTCTCTGTGCGTTCGGATTTCACGCCGGCGAACTGATGTCGGCCTTTTTTATTCTGTTTTCTCAGGTGATTTTTTGAAAAATAACCTTCTTCTATGACGGGCAAGGGGAAAGAAGTTTGAAATTTCATCTCTGTTGACAGGTTATAAAATGTCACTTTTCATAAATAACTGTTTTCGGCTCTCGGCCGGAAATATTCTGTAGTTGATTCGATATTATTGGCTATAATTTTCTATGATGTGAAAATAATATCGCCATTGCCCAAAAAAGTCCCACATATTGAGAGAAAAAACCGTAAGTCTGCTCAAGTCTTTCCATAAAATTGTTCTAATAATCTACATAATTCTTTTCGAATATTTTCGATTAAACACGCGAGATTGAAAATGTTTTGATCCCTTTTTTTTTCAAGACAAGAGTAGTAGACTGTTGGCCCGCGACACAGGGTTCATCGATGTTCTAAGTCGGTATTCGGAATGCCATTTATTAAGGGACTCACTCACTTAGTCCAAGTTAACAGGAAGGAGTGCCTCGGAGAGTCGCAACCCAGTCCTTGCCCCAGCCCTGACCTCACCTTTCGGTTGGAAAAAAGTTCAAAATTTTGTTTAAGAAGAAGCTCGGCAATGAAGTACAATGATCTTATCTCACGAAAATTGGGGCGCTTGCCGGTTTGCATACGCCTAGGTCACTCCCCAAGGGCGGCATACGAACCGGAAGTGGCAATTTTTCAGTGTTATAGTCGATGATCTAAAAATGTATGCCCTCTGGCGAAACAATGGATTCGGACAGTTTAATCAGTTTCCCGACATTAGCATACGATTCCGGAGAGGGGAGCTCGACTTATTCGAACATCAATTGACTAGACATCTTTCAAATAATCGATGATTCAAGTTCGTATGCACATCTCTGGACCGATAAACTAGGATATTTTGTATAACTGGATGCTATTTGCATACGAATTCAATGTGAGCATACGTTGTAATAATCGGGCAAACCCGCGGGTGCCTCGGTCCGGCGCGGCGCCCCGCACTGCAGGCCAGAGGTGCACCGAAAGCGAACTATAGATCATCTGGAAGTCTCATAATCTCACTTTATATGAAACCGGGTCAAAGATTAACTTCCTGGGAGTGATGGGGATATTTGAAGACGCAAATTGCAGATATATTTGTATTTATTCATCAGAAATTTACAGCTCAAAAAAATTTCATGTGTGAGAGGTTTAGTACCAAGAAAATGTTCTTGTGTGATTGTAATTTGAAAAACAGGGCTTTGGAAAGATGATAAAAAAAATTGACGACAAAATACTCGCCGGATGATCAAGAGGGGTCGTACGGGGAGAAGAGGGGTAGATTATTGCTCATGATCGAAACTCACAATAAATCGAATTGAAATTCTTCCCTGGGGCTTATGGGACTGCTTATCATAATACTTGCGTTCAAAAAATATATAAAGAATGTACATTCGATTTGTTGAATGTTTTGTTTTTCACTCACATTATATTTCAAAGGAAAAATTATACGTCGTCCTCTCTATCATTATCTTCAGAGTCGTCTTCGCTCTCGCTGTCTGTAGATGATTCTTCAGAGTTGTCATCAGTACCTATTAGTAAGAATATTATTTTGAATGGATACAATTATTGAAAAATCTTGGCATGATCGAATATACCTGTGATACTTCCTCAGTTGAAGTCTCAGAGATTATGATGTCACCAACCTCTGCCTAAATCATTACGTGCTACACTCTACCCGGCTGACGCAGCAAATCATTGTTCAGATATGAAAATTGTTTCAGCAAAAAAAAGAGAATACTTCAAACCCGGGATTAATATTTCTGGCACAGAATTTGGCGCATGATCGCTATAAGAGTGTTGCGTGTAAATGATATCGCTAGATGCTGTAGAGCTGTATTCGTCATGATAAAATCTCAACCCGATAGTGAAATGAAATATAGTGTTCCAGTAAAAAAAATTAACAACTACCCCATAGTTCATTCGTTATGAAAAGCCTGTGAATTTTCTAATAACAATGAAAAATCTCTCAGGAAAATCATTTTAATTGGTTTTTGAAATTTTAAAATCGGTTCAGAAACAACTAAGTTACAATGGGAGATATTTATGGTGAACCACCCTGTACGGAATGTGCAAATTGTATGCAAACCATCATCTCATATACAGGGTGTTTCCTAACTACGGTTCCTAACTGCAGGGGGTGATTTGTTAGGTCATTTCAAGAAGAAAAGTTCCTATGAACATATGTCCGGAGTTGCTTCGTTTCTGAGATACAGGGCGTTGAAATTAAAGAAAAAACGGTAACTATAAAATATCATGAATATCCTGGAACCGATTTGGTTGAAATTTGCTACTTTTATTTGTCGAATTTTCTAAAATTTCAACATATCAAGTGTTAATTAAATTTTTGGCGGAAATAATGAAAAACTCATTTCTTCAATGCAGGTGTTCATGATGTGCAATACAGTGGCTTTGATTTTTTTTCTCGAAAACGAAGCTGAATATGAAGAAAATGCAAGAGACCAAAAAGTTGAATTTTGAGTTGCTCAACCTAAACAAAATAAAAATTTACCAAAAAAAGTCAGTGGCGTACTTTTTTTTCACAATATTGTTGGCTGTGGTGCCCACTGAGACGCCACTGGCCCCAATAATTTCAATCTAAATAGGGCTAAATAAGCGCCTTATTAGTTCAAATGAAAGTACCAAATTTCAACCAAATCGGTTCTAGGATATTCATGATATTTTATAATTACCGTTTTTTTTTTCTTTAATTTCAACACCTTGTTTAATTTTAATAGGAACTTTTCTTCCTAAAATAACTTAACGAATCACCACCTGCAGTTAGGAAACACCCTGTATACTGTGTGGTCCACTAACCATGGTCAAAATTTGAACATTTCTTCGATTATCGATTATTTGAAGGATATCTAGTCAAATGATGTTCGAATAAGTCGAGCTCCCCTCTCCGGAATCGTAAGCAAATGTTTGTCAATTCATTGTTTCGTCAAAGGGCATACATTCTTAGATCATCGACCATAACACTGAAAAATTGCCACTTCCGGTTCGTATGCCGCCCTTGGGGAGTGACCTAGGCGTATGCAAACCGGCAAGCGCCCCAATTTTCGTGAGATAAGATCATTGCACTTCATTGCCGAGCTTATTCTTCTTAAACAAAATTTTGAACTTTTTTCCAACCGAAAGGTGAGGTCAGGGCCGGAGCAAGGAGTGGGTTGCGACTCTCCGAGGCACTTCTTCCTGTTAACTTGGACTAAGTGAGTGGGTCCCTTAAATGGCATACTGACTTAGAACATCGATAAACCCTGTGTTGCGAGCCAACAGTCTATAGATGTAGGAGAGAATGGGGGCTAACATTATTTATTGTCCACCAAACCTCTCCGTCAATGTAAGAATTGGTCATAAAGTTCCACATCGAGAGTAAAAAAACGCAAGTCTGCTCATGTCCTTCCATAACTTGAGGTTTTATATTTGTTCCTATTTCAAGAATGTTCTCGTAAAACAGGCCATAGCCTTTAGGACTATTTTGGGATTTTTGACATTGTAGTTGATCTCATGTTTTAGTTTCAGAAACTAAAAATGTTAGCCCCATTAGAGAGAATGAGAAAACTGTCCTCTCTCTCCTTCAAAATGAAAAAAACTTATAAATATATTTGAAAGATTCTAATTAACTGATTCTCAGGGTATTATTTTATTATTAAATTAATAAAATAGGTAATAATTTATATTCAATAGGTTTGTTTGCGTTCGAAAAATAAACAGTCTGAAACCGGAAACTTGAATATTTCGTACTGTTCTGTGAAATTGCTCATGCTCCTGATGGTTTCAGACTGTTTATATTTTGAACTCGAACAAGCCTAATACCTACATTATTAGGTTTCGAATTTATTGATGACCATGTATACATGAATACAGAATGATATGTACATAAATACCAGGGTGTCTCATAAGTCATTGATCAAAAGATGTGGAGTGGTAGGAGGGGGGGGGTCATTTGTCTGTATAATATGTGGTTACCCAATTGTTGGTGGTTCAAAAGCTATTCAATTAATCTGAAAAACGCGACCTCATTCAAAAAAAAATAAAAAAAGGCTGTTTTGAATAACCCCATATGTTATACCAATTTGGAATCTGTATTAAAAGGGCCAATTGTTCTGATGATAGTTGGTCATCTTTTTTAAAACTGCCAGCAGTATTGAAATATCAACTGATCTATTTCATTCAAAACTTGAGGAAAACTAAATTTTTCTCAATTTATAGGGAAGGTGCATCCATGGGGATAACATTTACTTTCTAGAAAACAAACTTCATGATTTTAAGGAAAAATGAAAAAAAAATTAATAACATTTGAACCATCAATAATTGGATAACCACATACATGGTTATTTCAATTGCAAATGACCCTCTAGCACCCTACTTCTTATGATCCATGACTTATGGGACACCCAGTATATTGAAATATTAACAATGTTTTTATTTATAAATATAAAGGTACAATTCTTGGTGACATATTTATAAAAGCACAACAAACAACAATTAATTTATCAATCATAGACACATCATCATCCC